GGAGTTGAAGAAGCTGAAGCAGGAGAGACAGAGGGGCCTGGTGGAGTTGAAGAAGCTGAAGCAAGAGAGACAGAGGGGCCTGGTGGAGTTGAAGATGCCAAACCAGGGGAGGCAGAGGGGCCAGGTGGAGTTGAAGAAGCTGAAGCAGGGGAGGCAGAGGGGCCTGGCGGAGTTGAAGATGCCCAGTTAGGGGAGGTAGAGGGGCCTGGTGGAGTTGAAGAAGCTGAAGCAAGGGAGACAGAGGGGCCTGGCGGAGTTGAAGAAGCTGAAGCAGGGGAGGTAGAGGGGCCTGGTGGGATTGCAGATGCTCAACTAGGAGAGGTGGAGGGGGCCGATTACCAGGAGGTAGGAAAAGACTCAGAGGCTCAGAAGAGACAAGGGAAAACAGATACTGAGAGTGAGAATGACCTGGAGGAAGAAGAATCCAAGGAGCAGGGTGTGAATGAGAAGGAAGAAAACATCACTGAGGGGTCTGAGGATGAGGATTCTTTGAAAGATGAGACCTCAGGAAGAGATGACCAAGAACCAGGAGGAGAGGGTGATGGTGCAGATGCTATGAAGGCCCAGGAAGCTGACAGAAATGGACAGACCGAGTCAGAGAGTTACAAAGACAATAAGCCTCCATTTAGCCCAAGAGAAGTCTCTGAAAACCATAACTCAGAACAAGAGGAGAGGCCTGCATCTTCCCCTGGCCTGAGTGAAGACACCACTCACCAAAAGCCAGCTCCCAAAACAGTCACCTCCTACTCCATTATGTCATCTCTAGGAAACTGCTCCCAGGTCTCACAGAAAGGCTCAGAAGAAGAGCAGGTCGATGGAGATACAAAAAGCATTGCAGATGAGCCCATTGGAGTCACTCATCCAGAGAGCAAAGTCACTGGGATGTACCCAGAGAGCTCCTCCTCTGAGCAAGAAGGAGCCTGGTCAGACACAGACACTCCCGACAAGAAGGCAGATGAAGATCCGGACTTAGACAAGAATCCAGTTAAAAGCCTTAACTTTACCAAGATGGTAGGTAGGAGAGAGGAATTTGGCCATGATGATTTAGATTTCTAGAAAAGATAAAGTTGTGAGATGGTCATGAGATCAGAACTCTGTATGATTAGTTTGTCTGAAAAACTGAGTGAGGTTCAGCTCCCTGAAAATGGATAAAGAACATGAGAGAAAGATCCAAGGACTTGCCAAGGGCGCAGTATACACCAGTATACTGTGTATGTTCTCTGGTTTCTGTATCTGATATTTAAATGAGCTTTGTCATCTCAGCCCGTACATAGTGGGAAGAAGAGTTAGCCTCAGAGCCCACCTGTTCTTGGAGGTCATTCCTCCCTTATTTTTTATTTCCTGAGCTCGGGCGATGGATCAAATTAGAAGTGTTCCATTAGAGCTCTTATTTGTGTGTTTGCTTTTTGCTCGCAAGGGTTTCTCTCGTTCTTTTGCATATTGATCTCCTGTTACTTCTCTCCTTGGCCTCTCTTGGCATTCACCTCATTCGACTTTGAGAAGCTTTTTTTCTAGTCTTGAATATATTTGGTGACTCTGCAGATGTGATAACATAGGGAAAGTGGATAAAATAAGGGTCAATGGTAGAGTTTGTCCTTTACCTAAGCCAAAGAGTATTTCCTTAATTTATATTTTTGTAAAGGAAAATGCATAAAGAATGAAGGAGGAAAATAAGTTACCCCTAGTCTTTACTCAGAGATTACTTCTATTAGCCAAGCAACATGAGAGAATGTCCAAGGACTTGCCAAGGACACAGCATACACCACGTTGTTCTCTCATTTCTGTATTTGACATTTAAATGAACTGTGTCATCCCCGCCCATACCAAGTGTGAAGAAGGCTTAGCCTCAGATCCCTCTGCCCCAGAAAGAAATGCATTTCAGTTTTCTGGTGTTATATTTGAGGTGACTTTTTAAAATATACGAGTCTATATATTTCCCTTAGGGAGCTCTGGTGGCATGGTCCATAGCTGTACCTTTCCAGTGGCTCGAATCCACTAGCTGCTCCTTGGGAGAAAGATGGACAATTACTCGCCATTATGATTTACCTCAGAAACCTGGTTGGGGGTTTCATTGAGTTAGAACCAACTCAATGGCAGTGCATTTTTTTTTCAAATATAAATATAGTGATAGAAATATTTTCCCGTTTATCACAAAAATTTAACAAAAATTATTTTAAATACCAAAGTAATATTCCATATAAGAATATAAAGAAGCTTTACATTTCTCTTGTAGGTAAACTATAGACAACCTTTAGATGGTTTGATAACTTTGCTCTTAAAATCTTTCTTTCTGGACTTCAGGTTACTTCCTCAGGATAGATTCCTAAGGAAGGAATAACTGAGGCAAAGCTATCAGCCTTTTTAAGCCTTTTCCTCTTTTGCTACCCAGTTGTTTCTCAGATGTTTGCTCTGCTTTCCGCCCGCAGCAACGTGAGAGAACGCCTGACTGACTCTCCCTCTCTCACGTTTGATATTGTCATTAGAATTAAGAATTGTTTTGCTCTTCTTATAGACTCCAAAATCTTACATAATTTCAGATATATTTGACAGCAAATGAAATGAAAGACTTTCTAGCTTATTAAAAACTGTACATGAACTATAGGGTTTTGCCTTTTGCCCATTTATCTACTCAGATCTAGCACTTTTTAGACCTTTACTACATTAATTATGATTTCTTTATACCTTAAAATATAGTTTTTATTTTCGCGTTTTAAAAACACTTTCCCTTCATATCCTTTTATAGAGGCCCCCAGATTGGGCCCTATTTGGGTACGGAGCTCTTTGATGAGATAGGATTTCTTTGGTTTTCACCAGTTTACTGCTTATAAATGACCATTTTGTGCTATGCAAATTTGTTAAAATGAAAATGCTATCTTTGTACTCCTTGTTTAGAGTGAGTGTATGGTGTATCTGCACCTCTGCAACATCTGCTCTGTTCTGTTCTGTGGAGGAGAATTTCTTAATAAAATCTCACCTTTTCAGAATTCTGTGTCAGCAGTTCTTCGAGGTTTGTGCATATGTACATGGAGACACATACATACACAACACATGCTTTGGTAATGCAACGGTTATGAGCATAGGAGAGTTACATAAATTTTCCCAAAATCAACACAGCTAGTGAGAGACATGACCAAGATTAGACAAAAATCTACTGTCTTCTCCACGGTTTTTCAATTTTTTTGAAATGAATTTTTTGTTTACATTTTTTAAAAATCCTTATTTTAATTCAAGCCCTACATAATTAAATAACTTAGGTAATAGTGACCAACACTTTGCTGAATGACTTTACTGTAAAATAGTTGAGAAAATATATTAGGTAGAATTTTTTTTTCTCTCTCTCTCAGTTGACCACATTATATCTTCAGTTATCTACATATGTGCGAATATTTGGAGCTGGGGCCTGGATTTACAAACCTGAGGGTTAAATTAAAAAGCTATCATACATGGAATTCCTTTCCTAATTACAAAGTCATCCACTTTAAGCACCCACATATTTCTGTTATTTCTTTAAAACTTGGGTTTCATAGACAACTCTGTGTATTCTTCAAAGAGCATTCAAGGCCATTGACAAAGGTGAAGATTTTGTGTCTCTTCCTCCACCATTTTTCTATGTAACAATCATAATGCACAAGTCTTCAAAATTTAGCATCTGTTGAAAAAGTCAGTGTTCTTACAGATTCAGCCTGCTCCTAATTAAAAACGTGAGTTATCCTTTCAAGGAAAAAAGTTGAGTTATGCTTCATACAAAGTGCAATCAAAGAACTTATGAGTGTAACGCAAAAGCTCTTTAGCCTGTAGAGTTTCTCCCCTGAGTAAGTGAAAGAGGGAATTGAGCGGTGAGGGAAGGGAACCAAGCCTTTCTCTCTCCTCTTATTACCCAGCAAGGAGACCCAGAGATACAAGCTCAAAATAGCCACCTTCTAATGTCATTCATCATCAGCTGCATGTTAAGAGTCATCAGGTTCTAGAATTGGAGATTCTGGTTTGATTGTTCGGGGTTCTGGCTCCAGCACCACTATTTTTTAAAGGTTGCCACATGATTGTAATAGTCAAGTAGACCAATCACTGAGTCCAAGGGTCTCCTTTTCCAACTGAGAAAACTCTCACCTATTTTGGAAAAGTGAAGTGTCTAAATCACAGCCAGTGGAAATGTAGGTGCAAAAACCAGATACAGGTCATTTTTCTACATCATACATGACAACTCCTGTCGAGAGCAGAGGGGGAACTTTGGAGAAGTGTTACTGTGGTTGTTGTTACGTGCTATCACGTCATCTATAACTCAGTGACACTATGCACAATAGTGCAGAATCATACCCTATCTTGAGCCAATCTCATTGTCTCTGATACATCCATTCCCATTACCCCAGTTACAATGTCAATCCCTCTCATCCAGGGTCTTCCTCTCCTGCACTATCCTTCTACCCTTCCAAGCATGATGTCTTTCTCTAAGGACTGGTCCCTCCTGGCCACACACCCCAAATCCTTGTCTCTAAGGAGCATCCTGGTTTCACCATCTAAAGGACAGACCTGTTTGTTCTCTTGGCAGTCTATGGTGTGTTCAATACTCTTCTCCAGGCCCACAACTCAAAGGCATCAATTCTTCTTCTGTCATCCTTAGTCATTGTCTAGCTTTCTGTGCATAGCAAGCAATTGCAAAGTCCATGGCCTGGATCAGCCACATCTTAGTCTCTAGACCAATATTGTTGTTCTTTAGCACTCTGGAGAGGCTTCTGACAGCAGACTTTCCTAATGGAATTTGTCTCTTGATTTCCTGACTGATAGTGGTACCAAGAGTGCTGCCTGTGGATCTGAGCAGTGGAGAAGTAAGTATAGGAGGCCACAAACCTACTTCCTTGTAACCCCGCTGCATGCTTGCCTCACTTGCAGGCCCACCCCCTCCTCGCCCCTCACCCAAATGCTTCACTAAACCTCCTACTCAAATTCAAGCTTTGTCTTCAGAATGTGTAAGAGGAGAAGATAACACTCTAAATTAAATGAAGCTTTAATGCAAGTGGACATTTGGAAGAAGAGGTTTACTAAAGCTTCTTTAAAAAAATCACAGATCTATTTTTTTCTTCTTCCTTTAATGTGCATGAAATCACTTAGAGAGCTCCAAATAAAATGGGCACTTCAGTCACATGATTGGAGGGCCCAAGAATCTGTATTTTGGCAAGCATCCCAGGGAAAGTTGCCATGGAGCCTCTGGCTGTCAGCATTCCGCAGTGGGCTTCCCACCAGGAGCCACGTTCCTTGGGAAGGGATATTGTCTCTTCCTGGCCCCACCCCAACCCCATACACTCAAACACACATGCGCAGAGCTGTCCAGACCTGTCCAAGAGGAGTGAGAAAGTGAGCTTCCTTGCTCTCCCTCCAAGAGACAGCCTGGATCACTCTCGGTCAATCTACCTTTTTTTCCTGCCTGCCTCTACTGAGAGGCAATTAGGGTGAGTGAAGAGAAATTCCCTCTCCTTGCTCTGATTCTGTATCCCCAGTGTCTAGAGGCAAGGCCCGCAGTTGAGGCTCCCTGACTGTCTGTGGAAAGAAGGCAACTGTAGGATCTGGGTTTTAAAGGTCCTTGAGATCATTCCTTTCCTGACCTCTATATTCTCTTTCCCTGAATTTGTTCCTCTTCTCAGTTTCTCAGCACTGTCAGCTGAGCAGCCTAGACTAATATCTCAGCCCACCACATTCATCAGTCTTCTTCCTGCATTTAGTCTATTGAAACTGTGACACACTTATGCTTCAGCCCTTATTATGATTATCAATTGCTTGCCATCTCGCCTCTTCTGGACTCATCCCACTCAAGTATATCTTCACTTTTAGATGTATGGTCAAAGACCTTCCACCTAAAGGTAAATCTCACCTTGTACTGAGTCAATTCCAACTCATGGCAACCCCACGTGTGCACAGTTGAGTAGGTTTTCAAGGCTCTGTGATCTTTCTGCTACATCTCCACACCTATGTAAGTTACTTCTGGGTAGGTTTGAATCACAAACTTTTAAACTTGTTTG